CCTACTCTACCTACCCTATTCTACCTACTCTACTCTACCTACCCTACTCTTCCTACCTTACTCTTCCTACCCTACTCTACCTACCCTATTCTACCTACCCTTCTCTTCCTACCCTACTCTACCTACCCTACTCTACCTACCCTATTCTACCTACCCTACTCTTCCTACCCTACTCTTCCTACCCTACTCTTCCTACCCTACTCTACCTACCCTACCCTACCTATCCTATTCTACATACCCTACTCTTCCTACCCTACTCTTCCTACCTTACTCTACCTACCCTACTCTACCTACCCTACTCTACCTACCCTACTCTACCTACCCTAATCTATCTAACCTACTCAACCTACCCTACTCTACTCTATCCTATCCTATGTCCTTCTCCTGGATCTAAACTACCTCCCTGCCAATTTTCAGCTAAATCGTTTCAAACGTTCTTGAGTTATAAGTAGTGTAACTAACACGACTTTCTTTTATATACATACTAGCGCTTACCCGCGGCGTCGCTCTCGTCATTTGAGTACCTACCCTACTCTAACTACCCTACTCTACCTACCCTACACTACCTACCCTACTCTACCTACCCTACTCTTCCTACCCTACTCTACCTACCCTACTCTTCCTACCCTACTCTTCCTACCCTACTCTACCTACCCTACTCTACCTACCCTACTCTACCTACCCTACTCTACCTACCCTACTCTACCTACCCTACTCTACCTACCCTACTCTACCTACCCTACTCTACCTACCCTACTCTACCTACCCTACTCTACCTAACCTATACTACCTACCCTATCCTCCTATCCTATGTCCTTCTTCTGGCTCCAATCTACCTCCCTGCCAATTTTCAGCTAAATCGGTTCAGCCGTTCTTGAGTTATAAGTGGAGTAACTAACACGACTTTCTTTTATATATATAAATAGATTACATATATTCATGAAGAGTCAGGGTTCTTAAGTTCGATCTCCGATCGGGTAAAGTTTTAACGGGTATTTTTTGGTGTACCAACCTGGTAACTGAGGTTACAGGAAGCCCAATTATTCCTTATATTCAAATCCCTAATAGAAACGGCCAGCAACGCATAGACAACTGTCAATCAAAAATCTGTTGTATTCAAAAATACGCGGCAACTGGCTGCCGCGTCACGTGTCGCGGGTTCGATTCCCGCACGGAACAACTCTTTGTGTGATCCACAGATTGTTGTTCCGGGTCTGGGTGTGATGTGCATGTGAAATTGTATGTTTGTAGACGCACCCACGACACAGGAGAAAATCCTAATGTGGGGCAACGTCTTTTTATAAATAGTAAGAGAAAAAAGTTAAAAGTTTGCTTGAAGAGGTTGATAAAATGTACGTAGATGAAACGAGAGCAGTAAGTCGGGATATTATCACTTGACGTTCCAATGTCTGAGTTTTTTCCAATTACAGTTTTACCTAGTATCTATGTACAAATTTTACTTACACAATCCAGTTCCATTATTAAAATGTATTCGGATAATTAACATATTTTGGTATCTATCCACTATCTTAGAAATAAAGGGATATTAGGGAATTTTTTAAACAAGGCGACAATGTTCTGAACTGTGATCATGGCCCGGTTCCGGGTAACGGCCGTGGATTGGAAAACGCTACTCTGGCCGTGACGAAATACATGCGTGTATGTGTATCAAGTCAATACTATAGTCAGACTTTTAATTTGATTCCTGATTTGACATTGACCACTGTCATTTTGTGAAATAATGATACCACATATAACAGTGTAGTGATGAACACAAAAATTGATAAACAATCAGTGAATCAGGTTCAGAAAGGCATTCAAAAAATTACGGCTACCGAATGGTCTAAATGTGTATCCCATGTTTTCAAAGAGGAGGAAAAAATGAGTAAGCTAGATATGTTAATTGACAATAAATATCAAAGACACAATTCATAATAAATGTTACATAGAGTAACGGCGATAGCGATAGCGATGACGGCGACAATTTATAAAATGTCTGTTTTATTAGTCACGTTCCTTCATGATCACATTTTTTATTAATTTCACACACAATTACAAAAGAAAAGTCTCAGATCGTTAATTAATTGTCAAAACTAAATTATCGGTTCAGAAATATTTTATTTCCTGATGAACTTAGTTTACGAGAGTAAATTTATAAACGAGAGGAATCGATTCAGAAATATTCGATATCCATATCGGATAATTTCACAACGTCACTATTTATTACGTGTCATAACGTTGCAACACTGAAATTGTCAAATCTGGAATGGAATTAAAATTCCGAGTATAGGTTTCTCTTTTCGTTGATTACAACAATGTTCACGTATGTACTTCAATATTTTCAATACAATCTTCCAAATGCACCGGAGAACAAGATCCGCGCATTCCTTTTAAACCAAGAAAATTATTGTGCTCCGAGAAAGCAATCCACTTAGGGGTGTGCTCTCCGGATATTGCGTTGGTATCGGCTGGTGACAGCCCTAACCAATTCCTTAAGCCAGCCACCTTGAGCATAAAATATCGTTTGTAACTTATAGCGCCTTCTGGTTGTAGATTTTTCCTATTTTTCTATAATCTACTGGTTGCCAACCCATTGCATTATAACCATAGTCAAAAATTATTACTTAGTTCTGTATCTAAGAAAGTTTTGAGTTTTATTGGAAGATTGAATTTGGAATGTCATAATTTAGATTTAAACTTTTGAGCACCAAATGATACAATCTGAGATTGTCTATGGTCACTTTCCATTTTAACCAATAAGTATTTAAGGGATGTTACCTTTTATATAAAATGACTAATTTGTTGTGTACCCTCTTCATTACACTAAAAAAAGTAACCCATGTTATATTTTACAAACGAATGATTTTTCTAAACTTTAAAGAAAAACTAAATTAACTTCCCACAGAAATTACAACACCGGGCGCGTCCAAACGTGAACATTTGGGAAATTCACAGCAAAACCCACAAAGACTTCGAAGCGCGCGCAAATTCGGAGCTGTATTCGACGGAGTTGCCATTCCCGTTCCCGATATTCGGCCATTCGATGGGAACGATTAAATTTTCAATTAAAATGCAGTGTGCAGCCCAAACACGGTTTAGTCGTGTTTATCGTCCGACCAAAATGTTGCAGCCCGCAACTTTATGCATTATTTTGACGTTGGTCTAAACAGACACGGTTGTGGTGTACCTCAACACACGCGTGTAATAGAAAACTAAATACTAGTACCTAGTTAGTGTTTTGTTTTAGTATAGGTGTGTAAGTGTGACATTTGACACTATATTATGGCTTTAGACATTCTGTCTCCTGCATTAAATTCACCGTTTTCCTCTCTTTTTATTTCATTTCGGGATCCAAGTTAGTTGTTTATATCCCTGGAACGCGCCTGGCTTTTGTATATCAGTGTTTTCATGGTTCTACCTATTGTATATCTGGGCTTAGAAAAATTGCAGCTTTATTGTAAAATAGTAGAGGGCTTTTGAAACAAAAAATAAATAGAGAACACCATCTTTTTGAACCAGATTATTCCCTGTTACTTTCCGATTAAAATATTAAAATTAATTTCATAATTATTTATAGGTAATAATGATTTTATGAAGTATTTCAGTAATTAATTTTAGCATAGAATTCCTTTTAGCTAGTTTATTTTGTTGCCATCAATCCTAAAAATCGCCTAAAGGTTTCTTGTGGTATCAATAAGATACCTATACTAAAAATAAATATAATATAAAAGTTTGAATAACTTATTGACTACGACGACGTAAAAAACTTTTATAAATACAGGAAACGACAATCTCGTTTTCACAAAAATGACAATTCTATTGTATAAACAATTTTCATGGTTATCTGATTAAATGGACCGTGTAAACAACGTATTTTGAGGGGTTTATAAAAATTACGTCGTGGTAACAAAACTATTATGGCTGCTAATTCAACTATCTGTTGGATTAGTTTACTAAAAAAATATAGATGCAATTAGGATTCTATGAATACTACTTTTTATTAAAAAAAAAACGCTCGCGCTGGTTTAGGGAAAAATATTTAATCAATTCTTTTTCCCTAGAACAGCGCGAGGTTCTTAAAATATATCTCCATTCTATAAAAAAAAATATATTTTGTAAAATAGAATTCTTCTCTACTGTTATTGAAACGAACCTTAGTGTTACAAAAAAGTGGTATATTTGTGTGTAGTGTGTGTTTTTGTTGCGTTCCTGCTGCGTGTGAATTTATTTGCTGTGCGTTGCTGCACACCGCATTCTGCAAAATCGTGTATTTTGTTGGGGAATTAAAACCACATATTTTTTCTATATTACTTAATAGTTTGATTGGTTAAATTCCGAATATAACATGTTTATTAGTGAACAATGGCGTATTATTATTATTTTTATGTCGGTCGGCAAACGAGCAGACGGATAACCTGATGGTAAGCAATCAGCGCCGCCCATGGACACCCGCAACGGAGGAGTTACGAGTGCGTTGCCGACCTTTTAGGGATTAGGGATTTGGAGATTTAGGGATTGGGGGAGGGGAAGGATTGGGCCTCCGGTAACCTTACTCACACGGCGAAACACAACGCTGTGGTTGTTTCATGCCGGTTTTCTGTGAGGCCTTAGTATCACTCCGGTCGACCCGACCCATTCGTGCCGAATTATTATAGGTATAGTTTTATACATCATAGATGTTGTAACATTTTTAAAATTCTTCGTAAACTAAAAACTGATTAAAAAACCGAAGAAGTTATATATTACAATAAACGTGTCATAAAACAGTTTTTAAATTGGTTAGTACGGAATTTTACCAACAGATGGCGCTACATGTCTCATTGATGTTAAAGAAAATTATTCGAAAAACCAAGAGATGCAAATATTATCTGGAGTAGGGAACTCGGATTCCGTAGGTTCCACTTAGGTTCTTTTTTTTATTTATCTTTTAGAATAAAAGCAGTGTTTGTAAGACGGACTTAAGAAAAATAAAACATGAGATGTGTGATAGTTTTATCATGTTGCCACTAGTCTTAAAACTAAAAAATACAAGGTTTTTGAATACCATTTTTAAAAAGTAAATCAGAGATAATAATAGACTACCCTACACATAGAGAATATTCGGACCTGACCCTATTTAAAATGTACATTAATTCACAGTCCATATTTTTCATATAGTTTGTCCCAGAATTGTGTCTCCTCAGCATCAGGCGCAGTTCCTGCTTTCAGCTCGTTTCCAATGTCCAGATATTCTTGGTTTTCTAGAGTATACGGTACCCACTTAGCGCCCAGGGAATCGTCTGGAGTTGGGTTCCTGTACAAAGACATAAATTTTCACAAGACAAATATTAATCCAAACTATCCAAATCCAAACTTCCAAACTAATATTATAAATGCGAAAGTAACTCTGTCTGTCTGTCTTTTCTTCACGCCTAAATTACTAAACCTGTTTGTGGGGAATTGGGTACAGACATAGTTTGTAACTCGAGAAAGGACTGTTAACCAAAAATCTGCAGGAAGTCACTATTCCACGCGAATAAAGTCGCGGGCAAAAGCTAGTATATAAGTAAGGTAAAAACGTATCACAAAAAAGTGCTATAAAGACCTAGACTTATCTATACATCTATAAATCATTTTATTTATACATCTATACCCTATGAATCTATTTATCTACAAATATACATCTATCCCTACAAATAAATATATTTATTTATATAATTAATCGCGTCGCATTTCATAAAAAAGAAATTGGTTCATAAAAAAAATTGGGTTCTTAGAGACACCATTTTTTTTAAATAACTGATTTTCATTTCATACATAATAATGTATAATCTTAATATAAACGGTACAAACACAAAAATAACACTTTTATCAACTTTTATATGTCTGTCGATCTGTTTGTTTCTCCCGACTAATCTTCAGAACGGTTAAATCGACTTTGACCGGACGTTTATTGGTAGGTTGCTGATGTTTAAGAAGTAACTTAGGCTACTTTAATTCCAGAAGAAATCTTTTGTTTTCCTCTCGAAAGAATAGTGTTCCCGCGTAATGGTGCTAATCAAGACACTGGGTATAAGCTAGAATAGAATAAAATGACAAATCAAACAAAAGCACCCGTTTTTTGAAAACTCTAACAAAACTGAATCATTGTGATTCAACAATTTGGTATCAGATTATGGTTGTATTGCCACGTCTTAGCAAGTGGACTTTGTAGCCCGATTAGGTTGCAAATGTATGTTTTCTTCTTTCTCACACGTTAACAAAATTAAATTTGCTGAATCATCTGATATTTTGATTTCCCAAGACATTCAATTTGAGGATTTGGGGGGGGGAGAGGGGCATGAGATTTTGATCACTCAGGTCGAGTCAGCCCATTCGTGCCGAAGCATGGATATTCCACATTTATTTTTTGCACAGGAAAATTAAATATACAGCTGGTAATAAAGCACTGGCTATCAAATATTTTGAGAACTTGTTGTAATAAAAACTTAAAAAGAGTGTAATTTTCACACGATTTTACTAAGTGAACTAATTTAGCCATAACTTGATGGCGTGGAGTAACATACTTTTGGGTTTTAACGATGTAATTGTAAAAACGTAATTCTTGTATACAAATATAAACAAGTGTTATTTTAATTAAGGGACATAACATATTCCAGGACCCGATTCTGGTCAATTTATTTTCTCATATTAATCTCACAGCTGATTGGCCATTTTGCATGGAAATAAATTTTTTTTTCGCCATAATCGGCTCCTTGAATATGGCCTTCGGTCAAAATAACACCCTGTACATATGTATACAATGCGGAACGGCTTCCAAAACTTTCATAACATTTGGGGACAATAAATCGATCCAGCTAGGATTCAGTTTTAGAAAATGGTAAAAAATACCAGGCTGTGCTTGGATAGCCAAGCACAGCCTGGTATTTTTTACCCTAACCTATTACCACAGGCTTTTACAAGGGGTACAACACAAAATTGTTTGAAAACTTTAAACTTACCCGTATTTAGCAAAGTTGGTCCAAAGCGTCAATACTCGTTCCATCAGTTTGAACGTCTCAGAAGCAGTGTCCACCTTTGTATTCATCAGTTTAGGGTTAAAAAAGTACATTAAATCGTCAGCATGACAAGTAACTTGTCTTTCTCCCAGCATCTCTGTGAGTCCTCTCAAAGGAGCCATCACATTCCTCTCGGACCGGCAAGAAAACTTATACAAATATAGTTTCTGTTTCTTCCCTTTAGCACAGTGTTTCACCCATTGCATCGTAGGATGCACAAATATATGAATCGTAAGAAAATTCATCCATTTATCCCAGTCATCCGGAATATTGATCTGGTCATTGAAATAAAACTTTCTGATTTCTTTCCCAATCTGTAACTGCTGACTCAATGGAACAGTAAATGCCAATGGTTTACTAATGAAGGACTCTGGGAATCTTCTGACTAATTCCAATGACTTCTTAGTGAGTTCAAGATCTCCAAAAGCAATAAGACCTTCCTCCGTGGTAGTCCCTGTCATGATTTCAACACCTTCATGAACACCATTTGATACTAAATCAAGTATATCTCCATAAAAGAATCTCTCATTGTCTCCGAATTTCTTTTCGTTAACTACAGTGAAATTTATGTCCATTCCACCCTTGAATGCTTCAAATATTGCTAGCGCTACGGGAACTCCAACTATAGATTCCATCGGCTGATTTTTGAAAAATTCATACAAATCTTTATCATCCTCAGAATAAAATCCCAGGCTTCTGGCTAATGCTAAAGCTCTTTCACGAGGCTCAACAGCTAGAGCCCAGGGACAAGTAGATGCTCCACTCTGAGCAATGGCCCTCTTAAATAAGCCCTTTGACATTGGAGATATTAAGTGATAACTGACACTTCCTCCACCGGCACTTTCACCAAATATGGTTATATTTTTCGGATCACCACCGAAGTTAGCAATGTTTTTGTTCACCCATCTGAGAGCTTGTACCTGGTCTTTCATACCTGCGTTGCCAGGAACATCCTCTGTGTCTAAACAAAGAAAGCCGAGCACATCGAGGCGGTAGTTGATAGTGACAAGGACGACATCGTGTCTGATTAGAAACTCTGGCCCATAAAGATCATCGTTACCACTGCCACAGAAGAAACCTCCTCCGTGTATCCAGAACATCACTGGTAGAGGCTTGTCCGGTTTAATCTCCGGTGTATACACGTTAAGGTATAAGCAGTCTTCTTCACCAATTTTGCCAGTGTTCATGAACAGGTCATTTTGATAACATTTTGGACCGAATTCCTTAGCAGAACGAACTCCATCCCAAGGTTTAGGAGGTTGTGGTGCCTGTAAGAAAACAACATATGTTTGTTTTATCTATTTAAGACTTTATTCTGCCGATTAACGTATGGTTAATATTTTCCGATATTTTAATCAAAATTGATTCATAGTTTCAAAATTCATTATTACAAAAATATAAAACTACTAACTATCTACTACCTAACTAACTATCCTTACAAAAATTTACTCGTTTTATTTCGGAGTTGGATATCGATGCTTATCATTATTTACAGAATGTTTTTTTTTGTAAAACAATATTTAAATATAAACTGTTTAAAAATAAAGGTTTTATCCTCTCAACTTCTTTGATAGCTAGTACAAAATATTGCGTCACAATCATGTTATTTATCTGCAAATCTCAATACGATGCGCTAATTGATTATATAATTTATTGATAAGATATGTATGAGCCATTGTGTATCTGTAGATTATTCTTATAAAAATTCTTTTATTAAGGCGACTTTGAAAAATAATACTTTTTATACCAGACCAAAAAAGCTACAAAAAATGTTGTCTTTAAAATACTTTCATGGACTCGAACAAGAATTATCATAAATTGGTTTTGACCTTGAACCGCAGATCTCCTATTGGTGGTTGCGCGTACGGTATTCCCTTGAAGCTGTAGAAGGAGCCTTCGTACGGGTTCTCCACTCGCTCTCCCTCTAGCAGGCCCTCACTCACTCTTACTTGCACCATCCTCAGGCAGGTACTGAGCTCTCAGGACAACGACCGCGACGGTCAGAGCTCAAAACAAAACTGACTGTGCGGAATAACTTCATCATTAGCTTTGAATAGCTCTTCAGTTTGATAACAGATCTTACTGCTTTAGTTATAAGATTACAAATTTATTGTATTGAATGATACCTTCCTCACTCGTTTGCCTGGTTGGATGTGTGACTCATTTATTGACATACTGCGTTTAGCGATAAATAAATATGATTTGTTTTGAAATTGTTTTTTCTGATTAAAGTTTTACAGTTCATTTTGCAGTGTGGGTTTAAGTTAAGGAATTGTTTATTGTATGTTTTCCCCGTTTGCGCGATACTTATGTCAATTTTGTTTTTGTGCCAGTGTTTCCTTCTTAAGTCCAATGTTTTTTTATAATTTGTTTCGATGTTTCTGCATTATCATTCTTAAGCGTTGATGTATTTTGGCAAGCTATATACGTCTTTATATCTTAATGTCATTACGTTAAAAATAGTATTCAAATGTATGCTTTGCTATAAATAGTATAATAGGTATCTTAAAATACTGTTGTTGATGTTTAAATAAATCAACTATAAATACATAGCAAATGCTCACACATTCGCTGATAAATTTATTTCTTTAGATTGTTAGTGTGTCTTGACGTTTTTTTTTAATTCTCAGTCAATGCTAAAAAACGCACCATCCAAAATTACGCCCTCCAGAAAGAGTCGAGGCATTGACTTTTATTTGTAGAAAAAGCGATATAATTTCTTTGTTAGTATTTCGTGTGGCTAAAATCTATTGTCGAGTATAAATAATAGTTAAGAGAAATTAAAAAGTCATAAGTTTTATTTTAATTGTAAAAGTACAAAGTGTAAATAATACCCATTTCCACAAACGTAAATTACCAAAATATTTTTTTATCATAATTACAATACTCTACATCACCAGTCACATAAATTAATCCTATTTAAAAACGTTACATCCTAATCACAGTCCATATTTTTCATATAATTTATCCCAGAATTGTGTCTCCTCAGCATCTGGCGCAGTCTCCGCTTTCAGCTCGCTTCCAATGTCCAGATATTCTTGGTTTTCTAGAGTATACGGTGCCCACTTAGCGCCCAGGGAATCGTCTGGTGTTGGGTTTCTGTAAAACCAGTCATGACACATTGGCAACTATTTTTATCATAACATAAAGATAAAGGTGGAAAATTTCATGACAGCTTACAACCCGCTGAAAGAAGCATTTACTACAACATTGAATTGACACAAATCATAACTTAATCATATTAAAATGGAAAGATTACAAAATGTAGCGTAGCAAAAATAAATTAGTAAAAATATCAGTAAATTATTTTGAGTAGGCTTAGTTTAAATTTTAATTATAGGAGTCGAAGATAAGCTGTTTTTTTAAATAATAAAACATTCTGTTTTTACCGCATAGACAATGAACCAGGGAAAGTATTATTAAAAGTATTTAGCTAAATTGGTATATCGGTCTATTTAACTGTTAGTCAATTAAGTACTAAATTAGTGGTACAATAGAATGCTACACTATACGAGTATATTGTTTGTAATTGTATTGATTGATATATCGTAACATTTGTCTTTCACTATATTAAATAAAACTGTCATACGAGAAATTACACATTCCTGGCTTATTTAAATATTCAGAAAAAAATGTTTAAGTAGGTACTTATTTCTCCACTCACCCATATTTAGCGAAGTTTGTCCAAAGTTTCAACATTCTTTCCATCATTTGAAACGTCGCAGAAGCAGTGTCCACCTTTGGCATCAGTTTAGGGTTAAATAGATACGTTAGTTCATCAGCATGACAAGTAACTTGTCGGTTTCCCAACATTTCTGCCTGACCCCTCAAGACAGCCATAACGTTCCTCTCTGATTTACAAGAAAATTTATACAAGTATAGTGTGTGCTTCTTCGCTTGTGCACAGTATTTTACCCATTTCATTGACGAGTGTATGAACAACTGCATCGAAAGGAAATTCATCAACTTATCCCAATCATCTGGGATGTTCACCTGGTCATTGAAATAAAATTTTCTGATTTCTTTTCCTATCTTAAGCTGCTCTTTCAAGGGCAAATAGAATGCTTCCGATTTATTGACAAACATTTCTGGGAATATTTTTGCCATTTCCAAAACCTTCTTAGTGGCTTCAAGGTCTCCCATAGCAATGAGACCTTCTTCTGTAGTGGTCCCCGTCATTATTTCTACTCCTTCATGAACACCATTTGACACTGCATCAACCATGTCTCCATAAAAGAATCTCTCATTGTCTCCAAATTTCTTTTCGTTGACTACAGTGAAATTTATGTCAATTCCACCCTTCAATGCTTCAAACATTGCCACCGTTACGGGAACTCCAACTATTGATTCCATCGGCTGATTTTTGAGAAATTCATACAAATCCTTATCATCCTCAGAATAAAATCCCAGGCTTCTAGCTAATGCTAAAGCTCTTTCACGAGGCTCAACAGCTAGAGCCCAGGGGCAAGTAGATGCTCCACTCTGAGCAATGGCCCTCTTAAATAAGCCCTTTGACATTGGAGATATTAAGTGATAACTGACACTAGCACCACCAGCACTTTCACCAAATATGGTTATATTTTTTGGGTCACCACCGAAGTTAGCAATGTTTTTGTTCACCCATCTGAGAGCTTGTACCTGGTCTTTCATACCTGCGTTGCCAGGAACATCTTCTGTGTCTAAACAAAGAAAGCCGAGCACATCTACTCTATAGTTGAAGGTGACAAGGACGACATCGTGTCTGACAAGTAACTCTGGCCCATAAAGATCATCGTTACCACTGCCGCTGAAGAAACCTCCTCCATGTATCCAGAACATAACTGGTAAAGGCTTGTCCGGTTTCGTTGATGGCGTGTACACGTTCAGGTACAAACAATCTTCTTCGCCAACTCTTCCGATATTCATAAAGATGTCATTCTGATATGATTTTGGTCCGAATTCCTTGGCGGAACGAACTCCATCCCAAGCTCTCGGAGGTTGTGGTGCCTGTAATAAAAGAAATCATGTTAATAACTTATTTGGCTTCTTTTATTCAGTTCAGGACGTAAATTTATTATATTTTAAATTTGGTAGATATTTTGTAAATCGTGCATTATAATGATGTTATTGTGAATTGTTAAAGTCGATTATCAGAAGGTGTACCTCGCTATGTCAATTATAAAATCGTGTAGTTTTGGCATTGGATAATGGTGTTTATAATTATTACAACGTGTCTTGTTTATATACAACAATGGTAAAAAACATTACTAATTTAGATGTATGTAGTCCCTTTATCTATCAGCTTTTACGGTACTTATGTTGCATAAATTATTGCGTTACAATCATGTTATCTATCTGCAAGTGTGTCAGTCGATTATTCATAATAGTTCTAATAATAACGTGACATTGACAAATATTATTTTTTTACTAAATTCCAACAGCTATAAAAACCATCTTTATTCTTTTGAACTTGAAACAAGTATCGTGATTTTGGTTGACCTTGAACCGCAGATCTCCTACAGGTGGCTGGGCATACGGTATTCCCTTGAAGCTGTAGAAGGAACCTCCGTACGGGTTGTCCACTCGCTCTCCCTCTAGCAGGCCCTCACTCACTCTCACTTGCACCATCCTCAGGCAGGAACTGAGCTCTCGGGACAACGACCGCGACGGTCAGAGCTCAAAACAAAACTGGCAGTGCCTCAAATTCGGTGCGATATTACTTAATCATTCATTCAAGGCTATGTTTCGTTTGATAATAGTCCCTAAAGCGGTAGTTATAAGATAATCTTTTTTTGTATTCTATTTTTATCTCGTCACATGTTGTGCGTGTTGTATGTCATTTTTATTTATTTATGTAATAATTTATTGTCATGTTGTGTATTTTAGTGGTACAATATTATGATTTGTTTTGCAGATTATTATGTTGAAATACCACATTTTTTTAGGATTCAGGTTTTGGAATCAAGTATTGTATTGTGAAATTATGGGTAATCAACTTATGTAGAGGAGGTTTAGTCCAGCAGTCTTATTTAATAAGTTTTTAAGATAGAGCAAAATATTTTTAGACATCTTTAAAAGTATTTATTATATTATCATTTCGTTAAAGAGACGGGTAAGACTGGAACACAAGAACTTAATTTCATTACTACTGACGCTAGAACAAGACTACAGAATTTGATGTTTAAAATTTTCAGTTTGTGCTAAAAAGTAAGGAGCCACTAAAATTTTTCCTTTTGCTATATCTACTATTCTTTGTCTTGTTTCTTTTTTTGGATACATCGGCAATCGTGAGGCGGCCTGACGGTTAGCAATAGGTACTTGCTACAGACTCTCGTGGCACCAACGGAGTAAAATGAGCGTTGTTAGCCGTTTACGAGTTATAAGGGACTTGAGGTATAAATTGGATTTGGTATGGGTTGGGGGATTAGGCCAAACGTAACCTTATTCACAACGCCAAATACAGCAAAACTGTGTTGAAACTCATAACTTTGCTGTATTTTCTGGTAGTCTGTGAGGCCATGGTATCACTCCGGTCGAGTCGTACCATTTGTGCAGAAACATTGCTATCACTCACCCATTTCAATTTATAGTGGGTACCTAATAAAAAGAGGAGGTAGTCTGTAATTAATTAAATAATATTTAAGTTTAATTCCAATATCATTAAAATTACAAATCAATATTTAATTATTGTAATTTTAACCCAAAACATTTCACCCTAACATGGATATTGTAAAATTTATTTCAAAATCCTATTCACAGTCCATATCTTTCATACAATTTATCCCAGAATTGTGTTTCCTCAGCATCTGGCGCAGTCCCCGCTTTCAGCTCGCTTCCAATGTCCAGATATTCTTGGTTTTCTAGAGTATACGGTGCCCACTTAGCGCCCAGGGAATCGTCTGGAGTTGGGTTTCTGTGAAAAGTCAGTAGCAGTCAGGTTAGGTACATTAGCAAGTATTTTTGACATAAAATTACAATGTTTAAAACGTAGCTTCAAAAACGACTTTTTACTTAAAAAAAGAACAAAAATTGCAACGCAAATTATATAATACATATACATTATTAGCTAAATGTAAATGTAAATGTTTATTTATAATTACTTTGAAGGCATCGTGCGATAGAACTATGTCTATACTTCTATACTAATATTATTAAGAGGTAAAATTTGTAAGTTTGTATGTAGGGGGTAATCTTTGAAACCGCTAGTCGGATTTCCAAAATTCACTGATAGATTGCTACAATGTTCCTGAGTGCTATAGGCTATAAAACATCACGCTACAATTAAATGGAGCCGAGCAGCGGGTGAAACCGCGCGAGAGAAGCTAGTATTTACTAATTCGAAAACGAGAACGAAACACCGAAACTACGCGTCTATGGCATATTCAGAGTTTTAAAAATTTTTTTGAAGTACTTATTTCTCCACTCACCCATATTTAGCGAAGTTTGTCCAAAGTTTCAACAATCTTTCCATCATTTCAAACGTCGAAGAAGCAGTGTCCACCTTTGGCATCAGTTTAGGGTTAAAAAGATACGTTAGTTCATCAGCATGACAAGTAACTTGTCGGTTTCCCAACATTTCTGCCTGACCTCTCAAGACAGCAATAACGTTCCTCTCTGATTTACAAGAAAATTTATACAAGTATAGTTTGTGCTTCTTCGCTTGTGCACAGTATTTTACCCATTTCATTGACGAGTGTATGAACATCTGCATCGAAAAGAAATTCATCAACTTATCCCAATCATCTGGGATGTTCACCTGGTCATTGAAATAAAAATTCCTGATTTCTTTCCCTATCTTAAGCTGCTCCTTCAAGGGCAAATAGAATGCTTCCGATTTATTGACAAACATTTCTGGGAACGTTTTTGCCATTTCCAAAACCTTCTTAGTGGCTTCAAGGTCTCCCATAGCAATGAGACCTTCTTCTGTAGTGGTCCCCGTCATTATTTCTACTCCTTCATGAACACCATTTGACACTGCATCAACCATGTCTCCATAAAAGAATCTCTCATTGTCTCCAAATTTCTTTTCGTTGACTACAGTGAAATTTACGTCTATTCCACCCTTGAAAGCTTCAAACATTGCTACCGTTACGGGAACTCCAACTATTGATTCCATCGGCTGTTTTTTGAAAAAATCATACAAATCTTTATCATCCTCAGAATAAAATCCCAGGCTTCTGGCTAATGCTAAAGCTCTTTCACGAGGCTCAACAGCTTGGGCCCAGGGGCAAGTAGATGCTCCACTCTGAGCAATGGCCCTCTTAAATAAGCCCTTTGACATTGGAGATATTAAGTGATAACTGACACTAGCTCCTCCAGCACTTTCACCAAATATGGTTATATTTTTCGGGTCACCACCGAAGTTAGCAATGTTTTTGTTCACCCATCTGAGAGCTTGTACCTGGTCTTTCATACCTGCGTTGCCAGGAACATCCTCTGTGTCTAAACAAAGAAAGCCGAGCACATCTACTCTATAGTTGAAGGTGACAAGGACGACATCGTGTCTGACAAGTAACTCTGGCCCATAAAGATCATCGTTACCACTGCCGCTGAAGAAACCTCCTCCATGTATCCAGAACATGACTGGTAAAGGCTTGTCCGGTTTTGTTGATGGCGTGTACACGTTCAGGTACAAACAATCTTCTTCGCCAACTCTTCCGACATTCATAAAGATGTCGTTCTGATATGATTTTGGTCCGAATTCCTTGGCAGAACGAACTCCATTCCACGACTTTGGAGGTACTGGTGCCTATAAATAAATTAAATGCAAAGTTCGGTTGGTTGAAATAAATTAGGTAACATTATTCAAGTTTTTCCGATTGGCCTTGCTGTTTTTATTAACCTTTATTCAAAGTACAAGGACTTTGCCACCAGACTTTTTATGTAACCAATGTTTAAGATACGTTTTTCTTAACTGCAGGTAAACCACTTTGCAGTCGTTTATGAATACTGAACAATATATTTGACAACCCTTAAAATTTTTTTTAAGGGTACCCCTTTATAAACATGTTTTAGTGCACTGTTTGTGCACTAAAACATGTTTATAAATAAGCTGAGAAATAAATATAGTGTGACTTTAACCTTGAACCGTAGATCTCCTACAGGTGGCTGCGCGTACGGTATTCCCTTGAAGCTGAAGTAGGACCCTCCGTACGGGTTGTCCACTCGCTCTCCCTCCAGCAGTCCCTCACTGACTTTCACTTGTACCATCATGAATTCAGTACTGTGCACTCGGTCACAACGTCCGCAACGGTCAGAGTCCTCAACAAAATTGGCAATGCCACGAAATTTGTGCATAACAACCAAATTATATTCAATATTATCTTCCATTCGATAAGAGTACTTAATGCGATAATGTCAAGATTAAAAATTTATTGTTCTTGATTCTTATTTTACTAGTCGTTTATTACTGTTGTGTGATGTGATTATTCTTTTGTTTTACAAACGAATATAAATAAAAAGAAACACGATGAATATAAAGTTTACATAAGCACATCGCCACCTTATAAGCGCCTACTATTAAGTAAAGGCATCTTTTCACACGAAAAACATTTTAGCATGAAATACCACATTTGCTAAAGGCGATATTAAATTTATAAATCGAAATTATAATTTGGTATTTAACTTTTTGCTTAATAAATTATTGCCACTTTTTAATACACAATAATTTATTAATAACAATCTTCCGCCCGCGCTTTCACCCGAGTGAAATGCCCGATGTTGTTAAAAAGTAGCCTAAGACATAGGCTACTTTTCGGAGGATTCCGGAGTACATCCTATGCCTGTGCCAAATTTCATCCAGATCCGTGCAGACGTTTTGGCGTGATTGTGTAACAAACATCCAAGATCCAAACATCGTAACTTTCACATATATAATATAAGTAAGATTCGTATTTCAAGTATGCTATTTGACGCAAAAACATGATATTTGGAAAAAAGTATTTGATTTGATTCGTTTTCAAGTACTTACGCAATCCGATAGTTACAAACAAGTCTAATTCAATACTTTTATATTGAAATATCAAAAACAATACTTTTATATGAATTTTGTCTGAGAATTGTAACAAATGAAGTCTATCTTTACGTCTAATAGCATATTTATTTCTTAAAAAACAGCTTCTTAAAAAATTGAATAACTTGTGAAATCAATTAATAATTTATTTAGTATAAATATTTTTGAATCTCTCATCTCCTATAGAGAAGTTGAAATAATTTTGTTTTGGCCTATCAAACAACCAAATTTCAGGATTCCTGACTACGTTTTCCTCCATCAAATGTCAGAAGTGTCTCGGTAAAGTCATATTATTATTTGCAAGGTTTCTACAGCATGTGAACCGGCTATTGACATTAAAATTTACTCTGACCTCTACATCATTCATTTATTTTTCCTAGTTGTTTAAAAAAAAATATAAATCTATCCTTTTTTAAATTAAAATGCATACAATAGATATAATATTTAGATATTTTTGTCTTATTGACTACAGCAGAACTGTTGGGGTCAGGTAACAAATGGAGACTTTAAATTTCATATTTGCTTCATAAATGTTTATAGTGTTCTTGGTTTTAAACAAGCCTTACTTAAACTATTATTTGAAAAATCATATTATATGTAATCGAATACCTAACTGGCATTGTAAATTTTTTAACGGCTTAGTATAGCGTTCAAGAGACAGCATATCTGTAGCTAAATAAGAATTAAATGAAAGAAATAATTTATTTTCGAACATGTTAAAAAAATAAATTATTTGGATTTTGACAAAAGGTGAAGCTGTATGTTTAATATTGTGAAAAATATATGTAGGTGGATTGGTGATGGTGCTAATTGATGATTGGATAAGTGATAATAACACTTCGGTATCCACGTCATGCTGACTTGACGATTTTCCATTTGCAGATATTTTTATCTAGCTATTTAAATCAATATTATTGCGAAACATTTCATACCATCACGTGTGTAGTTTTTTACACGTCGAAGTGTTTTCACCGTGGTTTTTTACAAGTTACGGAATTTTGTAAATTTGTTATTATTCGTATGCCTTTTTCTTTCTTAGCCTATCATGTCCTACTGCTGCTGGGCAAAGGCCACCCCATCTCGCTTCCACATCTCCCGATCCTTCGACCGTGTCTACCAGTCTCGATGATAGGCGTCTAGATCGTCACGCCATATTTTCCGGGGCCTACGGAATCCATCCTAAGTTGCCCACTGGGTGACAATAGTGACCCATCTGTCCGGATGCATTCGGCTGTCGTGTCCGGCCCAGTCCCATTTTAATTTTGCCACCTTTTGGCGGTATTCCGTATACTATCTGTCTGTTTTATGCCTAACTTAACAGGCTACGTTCCATTGCCCTTTGGCAAAACCCTGAGCCTGGAATTCTAACGGACGGTGAGAGACCAGGTTTGCGCACCGTTGGTTAGGACAAGCAAGATACATATTATTATTTGATTATTTGTATGCCATAAGTGCTCTTAAATTAAAGGGTCCAGAAGGTAGGCGTGCTCTATCGTAGGTTGCATCATAGCTTACCACCAGGCGTGATAGCGGACAAATGAATACCACAAAGAAAAAAAAAAGAAAAATGCCAGTCATGACATGTCGCCAACTATTCTATATTTATCTTATTACAAGATAAAATGATTAATCATTTTAAAAACAGATTAATTTAATGATAATGTTTTCATAAATACCAACTATATTATTAAAATATATTTATTTAAATTATTTTATTTCTAAACAAGCGACACGCCCTGACTTGGCATCGATTCTGATACTAAATGTCTCCACAATTTAATGCATGTTATTATACATACAAACCTTCCTCTTCAATTACTCTACCTATTAAGAAAACGGCATCAAAATCAGTTGCGTAGTTTTAAAGATTTACACATACATAGGGATATAGGGACAGAGAAAGCGACTTTGTTTTATACGTTACTAGCCATCGCCCGCGGTTCAGCCCGCGTGGATGTTGATTTTACACTTTTTCAAGATATTTTTAAATTTTCTCTACGTACAAACCTACAAACCTAAACAAGACCAAAATTAGCCAAATCCGTAAAGGCATTGTTGAATCTTTTTTATTATAAAATTGCCTACTGTGCTTGTGTACAGGCTGCGCGACGTCGCCGCGTCCGCGCACGCTGCTTATGAGGAAGAACCCCTCTGTGGTTCGAAACTAGTAGAGCTTTTCTCAATTTATACACGTGAGTAACCCGCGATTTTTAGTTAATTTAGGCATTGTTGAGTTATAATAACATTACAACGAAAAGTGCCATTGATTTTTATAAATATAGATTGTGAAATAGTGGTAGAGGAACCGAACCGTTACTTCTGCTTATTTGAAATCTAGTTTTGTTTTTGTTGTAACCAAATTGTGTTAAAGTTCCTCTTTGTTTAGAGAATGTTTTTGCCAAAATCCCCAAGTTTCGTAGGTGACTTAGGACTTGTTGGTTGCAGTTTCAGAATATACTAGGATAGTTGTACTTGGTTGTTAATTGTGCACTTTTCCTTCTGCTTGAGTAGATTTTATTTGATTAGGTATTTACCGTATCAACGTACGTAACAATGAAGAGTTGTCAATGCCCGATATTGTTAATATTTACCGTACATAAACATTTATTGAACACTTAATGGTAAAGTAGTGTTATCTTGCTTTCAACTGTTGATAAGGATACATGTTATAGACTGCACGGTTGGCGCGGTGGCTGGGCAACTGGCTGCCGCGCAACGTGTCGCGGGTTCGATTCCCGCACGGAACAACTCTTTGTGTGATCCACAGATTGTTATTCCGGGTCTGGTTGTCATGTGCGTGTGAAATTGTATGTTTGTAAACGCACCCACGACACAGGAGAAAAACCTAATGAGGGGCAACGATTTTTAAAAAAACAAAAAAAAACGTTAAGTTTGAGTTTGTTTTGTTTTGAGACGCGGGCGGCGCTGATTGCTTACCATCGGGTAATTCGCCTGCTCCTTTGTCGACCTATCACATAAAAATAAGACCAAGCATGTAGTATAAAGAAGTTTATTTATTTATTCCTTTATAAACATGTACCATTACAGGTTTACACAATTCGATAAATATGCCTTTAATTAACTGTAATAATATATTATCACTACATAGCAAAACAGTAGATTTTTCTGTCCCTTTATTTCCATGGTATGCTTAAATCTTTAAAACTACGCAACTGATTTTGATGCGGTTTTTTAATAGATAGAGAAATTAAAGAGGAAGGTTTATACTATGTATATTTAATATGATATCTATTTTAAATGGAGAAATGGAGAACCGTCCGAAGCCGGGGCGGGTCGCTAGTTTATACATAAAACTAATGTAATTATAACTAATGAAAGATGAAAATGCATTTGAATTCACTAAGTATGTTTGTAGTTAAATTTGAGAGTCCAATTGATTGTGTGATTATGTTTTCGATTACGTATCGAGAGCGATAGAAATTGTTTACTGGATTCGATCTTTTGCCATCGATAGATAGCCTAAAGCATAAAGGTTTCGTCAGACTTTCCATCTATTTTCATTCTCATCCTCATACGATGGTCTATAAAGTCAATACTATAATTAAGTCTAAAATTGTTATAACAAATTAAATGTTTTTTAGGAAGAACGGGTATCGTGTGTGATGTGTATGTGTAATTGAATGTTTGTAAACACATCCGTGACATACATATGTTTGTATAAAGGTTAGTGTGGAGTCACGTTTAATAAATTAGGAATTCTTTGTAAGTATACATTGAATCGTAGATCTCCTATAACACAGTTGACCGTACGATATTTCCTCGAAGCTGAAGAAGGAGCTTCTGTACTATTTCTTTACTCGCTCTCTCTTTAGCAGACCCTCACCCACTCAAATTTTCTCCATCTTTAGTCCGGTACTGACTCTGGCAACATAGAATTTGCTGCCAAAAAATCAAACTATTCTTAAGTGTTATCATTAAATAATATGACCTCCTACGATAGAAATAAGATTAAAATTTAGTTGTCTCATTGTTACCAAGCCATTTGTTTTGGCTGTTTTTTGTAAGGATTGTTTTGATAAAGATCACACGAGTTGTTTAATAACATTTACCTACTCTGTATTTGTAGGTAATATAATATTAAAGAAAGTAAAAATATGTGTTATTTCCGATAGAATAAAGTTACGGTAATATTGATAATTTTATGTTTTTTATGTGACAGAGTTACAAGCGCGTTTTCCAATATTAAAACGAGTTTTACGAAATATGGCATTGATTTTTATATTTATAAAAAACAGTTGTTCATTAGTTTGAGTTTAAGCTATTTGAATATTATTGTTATTAATGGTCCATTTCCTTGTAAGAATTAATTAAATAGTGTCAATTATGATTTTTGTAAGGTTATATGTTCATATAGTTTGAGTTCTCTGTCATGGTGACTTTTAAATTTTATAGTTTATTTTATCAAGTCATCTATATTCGTATCATAGCAATCAACATAATCTTATAAGTATAATTATTGTCGTCACAATGTTCAGTATTTGAAATTTTCCAATACATTTCAAATACTTACTGTTATTGTAAAAGATAAAAAAAATTGACACATAGAACAAATTAAAAATTAAAAATGGGTTAGTTTTTAAGGTAGTAAAACGCCTTAATAATGACAATCGTAATAGTTTAATTAATCTACGCTTATCCTATCCTACTTAATTATAAATATGAATGTATGGATGTATGTTACACACAAAAAATGCTGGACCGATTTGAATTAAATTTGGTGTGTAGATAGATTATACCCTGGATGGACACATATACTTTTTATCAACACATTAGGCGGGCGAAGCCGCGAGCGGAAGCTAGTACAATATCTGGGAGAAACGAACGAACGCAAACGATGATGTCTTCAAACTTACTTACTATAATATAATAAAACTGAAGAGTTTGTTTGTTTGTTTCAACGCGCCAATCTCCGGAACTACTGGTTCGAATTGAACAATTCTTTTTGAGTTCCTCAGTCCATTTATCGAGGAAGGCTATAAAACATCACGCTAAGGTCTGTAGGAGCCGAGAAGGAGGTGAAACCGCGCGAGAATAGCTAGTTTATTTATATAAACACTTTTTTCACAATGGCGGTCTTAATGCCGAAGACATTTTCTTCCGGTCTATCTTAGGGTGATACAGATACAGATACGTGAGACAGCTAAAAGTCTTGGCTTGGTTATCAGCAATATACACAAAAATAAGATAAATCTATACTAAAATTATAAAAAGGTACAATTTGTAAGTTTGTATGTAGGGGTAATCTTAGGTCGGATCGTCAAAATTCTTTCACTGATAGAAGGCTACAATGTTCCGAAGTGCTATAGACTATAAAACATCACGCATCGATCAAATGGAGCTGAGCAGCGAGTGAAACCGCGCGAGAGTAGCTAGTATTCTTATGTAGATAGATAATGCTATGAATTTATAATTTGATGTTGATAAGTATGCATGTTGTAATAGACTTACATAAGAAAAGTATAACTAGATAAGTGTTGCTGTCGATATCGTTGGAATGTGGAACCCTGGCAGGAATTAGGTCAGCCCGTGGCACGAGGTCACAGAATGAGCGCAGTTGTGTCATTCCACGGCTTAGTCCCGATATCTCTACTCAGAACACTTTTACGATATATACACGTGAGACTAATTATATTGGTTTCATCTATACTAATATTATAAGGAGGTAAAATTTGTACCAGAATACATTACTTTTATATACGTTCGAAGCCACGGCGGGAAGCTAGTATGTTACAAACATTATTTATTTATTCTATAACTGATTCATTTTATATATAAAAAAAATATATTTTGTCTGTACAAACGCATAATTGTACGAATGTTGGTTAGCTTGTAACTGGCTAATGTATAAGACCTACTTACTGCCTATAACCAATACTTTAAACTACTTTGTATACATAAGCTGTGAGCCTGCCTTATTATAATAAATGAATATAAGTAAGTACAAATAGTATGATCTACACACCTTTCTATATAAAATTCATTACTAAATGTGTCACTACGCGTTAATCTCGAGATTAGTAGAGCCGATTTTGCTTACCCTTTTTTATTGTATTTATTACTATCAGAAGAAGGTTCTTATAAAAGAAAGTTTAAGAGAACTGGTAGGAGAAAGAAGAAAATAGCAAAATTTTTCATTAACAAAACATTGATTGACACTGGGATCATAGTTAGGGTGAGATGGAGTGAAAAGAAGGGACTGGCCGCCAGTCCTTACTCTAAATAAAAATATAGGATCATGCATTTTTTGTCAGGGGAAAGTCTCCAAATGACTTCTCCCGCCAAGGATAAGGCGAGAGAGAGTGTCAGACTCTTACTGACTTAAAATCCCCTCGTTTCTTCTCCCGCTTTACGCCGAAGCCGCGGTGCCACATTCCAAAAACCCGGCAACCCCGGCTGAACATCAGCCCTATAAAATAATTAGCATGAAATTTTAAACACGAGTCATTAATAAACTTTATCGACATAGTCAGGAGTAATTTCTTTAAAGATATTCTCCCAAAACAAGAACTCGTCGCGGTCCGGTGCAGATCCAGTTTGGAGATCGTTGCCAATGTTCAGATATTCTTCTTTGTCCAATGTGTAACGGTTCCATTTGACACCAAGACTTTTGTCAGGAGTCGGATCTCTGTAAATAAAAAAAAAATTGCTAAATAAAATTGCTTCTATAAAACAAAAGTAACAATTCTCTTTTTTATGTAATATGGCGTTAAACGTAACAACACGGTAAGCAATCGGCGTCACCCATAGATGAGACTAGACAATACCAGAGGAGCTGCGAGTGCGTTGTTGGCCTTTTGGAGATTTAGGGATTGGGGGTAGGGGAAGAATTTGGCCTCCGGTAACCTGACTCGCTCGGCGTTACACAACGCTGTGCTATCATTCCGGTCGGGCCGCCACATTCGTGCCGAAGCATGGCTCTCCCACATTATACATAATTGCTTTTTTTCTTTCTTCCTTTTCAAAAAACGTTGCCCCACGCTAGGATTTTCTCCTGTGTCGTGAGTGCGGTTACAAACATAAAAACATATTATTTATTCTTATTACCTTTGTGTTCACTTACCCATATTTAGCAAAATTTGTCCACAATTTTGTCACATTCTCGATCATTTTGAACGTTTTCGAGTCCATATCGACTTTAGAATCAAATACTTTGCTGTTGAAAATATAAAACAGATCATCCAAGTGACAGGTTACTTCTTTACCGTTTGTCACAGCATCTAGACCCAAAAAATGTGCTGCAACGTTTCTCTCACTCTTACAAGTGAATTTGTACAAATAACTGTTATTTTTACATGAGCATAATTTTATCCATTTTAAGATTCCATATATAAACATTTCAGTCGATTGGAAGCGACTTACACCTTCCCAATCCATACCTTCGTTGCGCATGTAAAACTGTTTTATCTTTTGCCCAGCCTGAATTTGTTCTTTTAAAGAACAATTTAATGCAATATGTTTGGGAGTGAAAAAGTTATCTAACTCTTTAGCTTGTTGTAACATTTTTGCATGTTTATCAAACACGTATAGTAGGACTCCTTCATCAGCAGTATATCCATTAATAACTTGAACACCTTCGTGGATTCCATTTTCTAAATAGTCTGATATGTTACCGTGAAAGAAACCCTTTTTATCACCAAATTGTTTTTCACTTACAATGCCGAAATATAATTCAAAACTAGCTCGATGTTGTTCTGAGTAAGATAGTGGTACTTTGACACCAGATAGTTTCTCATCTGGTTGAGATTTGAAAAACTCGTAGAGATCTCCGTCTGTGTCCTCGTTATATCCTAATTGTCGTGCTAATTCCAGTGCTCTCAACTGAGGTTCAAATACTTTAGCCCACCAGCAAGTCGCGACTCCACTCTGACAAATGGCTCTTTGAAAAAGTCCTTTGGTCAGGGGCGAAACTAAATGGTAGCTGACGCTGGCACCACCGGCACTTTCACCAAAAATGGTGATATTTTTGGGGTCACCGCCAAAGTGTGAAATGTTTTTATTGACCCATTGTAGTGCTGCCACTTGATCCTTCATCCCTGCATTACCAGGCACATCTTCAGTGTCTAAACAAAGGAAACCCAGTACTTCAAGTCTGTAGTTGATTGTGACTAGGATAACTCCTTGTCTCACGAGGAACTCTGGGCCGTACATGTCATCATTGCCACTGCCGGAGTAGAATCCGCCGCCATGGATAAAAAACATCACGGGTACAGGGTTTTGGGGTTGCAGTTCAGGAGTGTAAACGTTGAGGAATAAACAATCTTCGCTTCCCGTTATCTTGGATTGTGACTCGAAATCTTTCTGGTAGCATATTGGACCAAACTCCTTCGCACTCCGGATTCCTTCCCATGGCAGAGGTGGTTCAGGAGCCTGTGGACAAATTAAAGTGAAAAAGCATTATTATTGGAATTAAAAAACGCTAAAACATGTTTGCATATTATTGTACCCAAATTATCATCATCATCATCATCATCATCAGTCTTTTGTCACACGGAGAAGGTTTGAGCAGTTATTACCACGCTTGTTCTAGGCAGGTAAAACTCGGGGCCTCCACAACATTATTATTCCCAAAATATACCTATATGACATATTGATGTCATATTTTCCCAAAAAGATTTAATTCGCGTTGCGCCAATTATGTTGTCAGCTGTTTACGTCATGACCACGGCACAGCATCAAAAATCATCCTGATATCTACGACGAGTTTTCCTGAACGGTATTGCATATAAACTTTCACTTAAAAATTATAAAAAAAGCACAAAAAAAAACTGTTTTTATATATTTAATATGAATCGTTTTCCTGTGATAACTTTTTATCATACCTTCACATGTGTTAAAGGTATTGTCTTTTCTTTCCATTTTTCAGAATAATAAAATCGGTATGACTCATTAAAAACAATAATATACATATACTAGCTTAGCCCGTTGTATAAGAAAAATGTAATTTCCAAGATTTCAAAGGAGATGCACGCGGCGCTGTTTCTTTGTAATCAATGATATCTTCAAAACTACTTAATTAATTCATACAGTGTATAAGACAATTATAATCTGCATTTATTACTGAATATAATAAAAGTATTTATTGATAAAGATTAATAAAGAACAAGAACACTATTTTCATATTTATAACCGCGAATGATAAATTTTCAAAGAAGAAAGAAAAAATCAGCTTAATTGGCATCAAACATGGAACAAAAAAAAAAATTAATAACAGAAAAACAGACTCATAACAATACATAGTACTAAGGGTTGGCACACATACCCAATCCGAATGGGTGGCCAACCCAATGGCTCAACAACAGCAAAAGTTGGGCATACAGAGCACCCAACACTGATTTCAGTTGGCACCCCTGCAGTAAAAGCACGGACAAAAGCAACAAATACTATCTACTATATGGCGGTGTATACTCGTAATACTATAGTTAATTATTTTAATCCATGTATTTCGTAAGGTCTAGTCAATATTAGCAATCGAAACACTAAACATGGGATTAAATTACGTCATCAATAAAATTAATATCATAAGAAATTCCTTAAATTATGACTTTGTTACGTTCTTTATAAAAAAGTCTCTTGAATCACTCTATCAAAGTTTGAAGTAAAAATACACAGCAACTAAGTTAGGGAAGTGACTTGTTCCGTTTTTATTTGAAAGTGGCAAATGACAGCTTCTGCTAAATGAATACCTTGAACCGCAGGTCTCCTACAGGTGGTTGCGCGTACGGTATTCCCTTGAAGCTGTAGAAGGAGCCTCCGTACGGGTTGTCCACTCGCTCTCCCTCTAGCAGGCCCTCACTCACTCTCACTTGGACCATTCTCAAAACGGTACTGTGCACTCGAGAAACCGTCCGCAACGGACAGAGTTCTCAATAAAATTAACGTTGTCGTGAATTTAGAACACAACAAGTTTTAATTATATTCCATTTGATAACCGATCTTATAGCTAAAGTGTTAAGAACACATTCTTAACATGTAACTCGATTTTAGTTTTAAAAATAATCTTATCGTGTAATAATAATAATAACATCGTTGAATAATACATACTTAATTAATACAACGTGATCAATGTTGGATCAATCAAGCTATAAATAAGAGGCAGTTTTTATAATATTGATAGTTTTACTTTAATACGTTTTTAAGAAGAAGTTAATAATTATGAATGTAGTTAAGAATCTTGGGATTATCACATATGATATTATTGGGTAGTTTCCTAGGTCAAAAATAAATTGATTCGACGTTTATGGATGTCCAGCTTAGCACGTGTCGGATTGTAATATGTGACACTGATCTTCTGCTGGATTCCTGCAGTGAGATATGGATGTCTAGTGGTCAAAATATACAAAAGCGCTTTTAAATGATGACGTTGCTGAAGGCGGATTGGAGATTTCAAATTTATAATTAGAAATTATAAGTCCGGGCTCTCGCTATGTTTTCCTTCACCGTGAGTGGTGTCCAGGTTTCGAACTCGTACCCTCGTGCATGAGAAGCGGGCGCCTTAACGAACGACACGAATAAACACAAAATGAATTAAATGTATAAAATAATGTACCTATAAAATAATAATATATAAAAATAAAAATAATGTATAAAATAATTAAATGAATTTTATTGTAGCCTAGAAAATATTGCGCCAAAAAGTCCATTCGACATTTAAAAATAAACCTACAAATAATTCCATATTCGAATACGTCGGATGGTGTCTGTGGCGCTGCGCTTTCGTGTCACGCGCGCCCGTCAATCAGACGCGATTGTTTGAATATGGAGCGCGGAATATTCTTCCGATGTTTTGTTTAATTGCGTACCGTTATTAATGATGGACGGTCGTACGTGACGGGCTTCCCGATAGATCGTAATTATAATGTCTTTTGTTGTACGTGCCTAGTAGACGGTTGCGTTCAGTAATATACAAATTTTCTTTTTCATTACCGAGGTAGGACTTTGTTCTATACTTGCCAATGATATTATAAGTAAAATGGTGTAGATTGATTACATAATCAAAATTTGATTTTCAAAAACGGCACACTAATGCGCACAAGAATAAAGCGTATGATACACGTTAAAGTGGGATGGCATAATTCAATAATCGCGAGTGAAAAAGAGACAAATATGAAAAACTGTAGCTAGTTAGCCACATTTTAACACATCCTCGACGCACCTGTGCGTTCAATACATTAATGTATAGAACGCACAGGTGCGTCGAGGGCACACAGAGTAGCGTAAGGAAACGCACATACGCGTCGGGGGCACTGGATGTGTTAATGTATCACTTGCTGAGCGCTTGTAACCTAAATACAACTTTTTACTTATAATATCATTGATACTTGCAGTAATGATTTTTGGAGGTAATTTTCTTTTGATATTTTCGGCAATAACATCCAAAATTATGTTCAAGGACCCAAATCTGGTGCTCAAATAAAAAAACTTTTTCCATAACACCAAAATGCAAATCTCAAAAAAAAAACTCTTACATGCAAAATGATCAATCAGTTGTTGCGATTTGTATGGGGAAATTAAATTATTTTTGAGTTTTCGAAAAAGCTTTTGGATTACGGTAGTTTCCAACTAGTCAAATTCAATACTTTTAACCAAATGTCAAAATTTCAAAAACGATACTTTTCTTTGAATTTTGTATGAAAAACTGAGTTATGACGTCACAGTATTTTTGCGTCAAATACCTTACTTATTTCTTAACTAACTAATATCTAAAACTTAGTGTATCGATTGATCTATGAATAAAAGTATAGTTATTTTCCAATATTTTATTGTATTGAAATGTCGAATTAATTTATTTTTGACCTAGGAAACTAGCCAATTGAGGATCAAAATCGACTCCTTGAATAGATATGTCCCTCATTCAAAATGCCCTGTATTTTACAAATTTTATAAATATCAATAGTTAAATTTCATTTTATAAATATGAATAGTTTAATTGACTTCCAGTTATAATATGATATAATATCTATAACAGCTACTGCTATGAAACCGTGTCTATCTAGATTCAGAGGCGGGGTATTTAATAATACTCGAGGTATTTGGTGCGGGGTGAATATTCAAGGAACGTTTGAATTGCAAACTGTTACTGACGGCCAAGATAGCTTGATGTGTAGTGCATGAGAAATAGCGGACGTTTATGATATTTATCGCAAGAGAGAAAGAGAAAATAGAAAAACGTTTTTTTATGTGATAGGTCGTCAAACGAGTAGACGCATTACCTGATGGTGATCAATCGGCGCTGCTGATGGACATGCGCAGCACCAAAGGCGTTAAGAGTGCGTTGCCGATCTTTTAGGGATAAGCGTGGCGAATATTTAATGATTGGGAATGAATGGAGACAGGGGGAAGGATTGGGCCCCCGATAACCTTATTCACACGATGAAACGCTGTGGTTGTTTCACGCCTGTTTTCTGTGAAGCCGTGGTATCGCTCCGGTCGAGCATACCAAGCTTGGCTCTCCCACATTTTTAAATTATTCTTAGAGTATGGCAGCTGGCTCTCTTTTTATTACATTACTCCTCATACGAGACTAGTACAAAGCACACATCTCCCCTTAGGTGTTCGGAAATTAAAATTCAAAAATGTGTAATTTCACATTTTGGTGGAATTTATTCACTGTTTATAGCCACTTACATATTTCGCTGTGATATTTATCTTAAGGTAGATATACAAATTACATATGACTCGAACGTTCGGCACATCATTCGGGACCACCTAAGACAGCCATTTAACCAGAGTTGGGACATACTAGTGTCGATAATCATTCGGAGTAGCAAGTGAAAACATAATATTGTGCCGCAGCTCGGCTCGGTCGCGAGGAGGGTAGTTTTTAGTTAGTAAGAGAGACAGTGACAGACCCTGTCCCACCACGTAAGGCGTGAGAACACGTTAGATGATGTTCCTCTGTACAGAGGTTACCGGAGGTCTAATCCCTCCCACCCCCCTCATCCTCATCCTCATACCTTCCCAATACTTAAGTATCCAAAATCCTTATCCTCAAAAGGCCAGCAACGCACTCGTAACTCCATTGGTGTTGTTAGTGTCCTAAGGCAGCTCTGATTGCCTACCATCAGGTAATCCGTGTTCTTTTATCTGACCTATACCATAAATAATACCCTTAGCATTAAGTCAAATGTACTCTATCCAATTTATATTTGCAAAACTAGAGAAGCTAACTTGGACCAAAGCAAAATTGTAATGCGCTCAGCGTTGGCACCAACTTCGTCTGAAATACATTAATTAATTATACACATTTGGTAATTTCTACGGAATTCGTGTGCCGGGCGAAAGTTTGCCATTTGTTTTACAGATTTCCATAACAATCACTTTTAATACCTTTTACATGATTTCTGGAAATTCCATCGGAGCGTAATGGCGTTTTGGAGTTACTGTCATATGTTATTACTCGTATAATTTTATTTGTTTTTAACTTGGAGGTATTAAGTACGTTCATATTTCGTTTACCTTATAGAAGAATGAATGTTTGTACGATTGTTGAAATTTTTTTATGGAATAGTTCAGCAGAGGAGCTTGCGAATTATCTGATGGTAAGCAATCAGCGCCGCCCGACCCGGTCCTCCGCAACTCCAAAATAAATACAAGTGCATTGCCGGCCTTTTAGGGATAAGGGTATCGGATATTTAAGGACTGAATGTGTTTAATATATAATTAAAATGGGTTATGTAGTTATTATCAGCTTTTATTAGAAGTACTACAGTTCCTGTATGAAAACTAATCAATCATTGTATTTATAACTTTCATTATATTTAATATCCAAAAGCATAAAATATACCATCTCGTCCCACAAAATACTCAATATCAAACTCATAATTTATTTTCAACATTCTATTTACGTAAAAAACATTGGCTCAAAAGTCCCTTTGATCGGTAGAGCGACTGCTACCATGTATAATGGGGTACTGCCCATGAACGCACCACTACCCGTAAATAAGACCCGCGGATAAGGTTCAAATACTTGCAAAAATGTTGTCCACATTCCGCCATGTTGAGTCCATTCGGCTATTTTCGGAAATGATCGGGGCATTTCGGTAAACAGTATTTTATGATGTTGTGATCAAATGTGATTTAAACATATACATTTGTAAACACTACAATTGTACCTATTGTCTTTAAATTGGTTGGTATTATTTTTGTGATAGGGCAAGCAATAAGCGATCGTATTGCCTGATGATGATACGAGTGCAATGTTGGCTATTAGTATATTAGTGTTTTGGAGATTGAGGGATTGGGGAGGACAAGGTTACCTTACTCACATAGCGAAATGTAACGCTGTGGGTTTGTCATGCCAGTATTTCTTTGGTTGTGGTGTCACTTCAGTCGAACCGACCCATTCGTGCCAAAACGTTGCTGTTGATGTAAAAAAGAGTTATCATTACCTACTTTGTATAGTAACTAACTTTTACTTACTACTTAATAACTTGATTAACTAATTTAGATTGAATGGTTACTTGCTTTATATCTCAAAATTAAATAAAATTTTCAATATAAACGTGGGTTCATAATAGGCACACATTTTTCTCACATGCCTCACAACTAACTTTGTTATTTAACATATCTACTTGCCTTTTTCATTTCATTTATAATTTTCTTTTCACTAACATGTCTCAATTAGTCTTAATGTAATGAATATTAATGTAAAAGGAAAAAAAAATAATTGATTCAGTTTCCATCGTAATCTTGGCTTCAATCCTTTGTGTTTAGAACCAGTGTTTATAACCTTTTGTTAAATCAAATAGTAGAGATCCCATGTATGTATATTATCTTTTCTTGACATTAGCTATCCGTAACCTAACCCTTCCATAAATACTTTTCTGGTCTACAAAATTCACTGACGTGAAAAATAGGTTTATTTTAGAGGTTCAAAATGATACAGCGAAAATAGATATTTTTTTCCAAGATGTTAGTTACACAAGAGAATAGGACATGAAACATGGAGGTTACAAGTTTGCAAATAACAGAATAATAATTCTTTTTTCCCCCACATTGTAAGTCAATATTTTGTGCAAGAAAATATCGCTTTGAACTCCGAAAACCATGTTTAGTGAAGTGTTCAAAATCGTTGATGGATAATATAAATCTTTGATCCAATACGAGGACAACCTTTGTGGTATATGAATCATTCCTATTAGTTTAAATTAATAGGAAATTCCCATTATAGAAAGAAAAAGTTTATATGTATCTCTTCTCTCAATATACTTCGAAAAAAAAACAGCATAAAAACATATAAAGAAGATTCAGTCACATACAATAAAAATTTCCTCAAGTTCCACATATGAACTGATTAAAACCGGTTTGATCCGGCACGTGCCGGTGTAAACTAGTTACGGATTATTGCCGCGGACGATGTAGGACGCTACGGCTGCGCTTTTCTTACAAACTCTAACTACCTCCGGAAAACTTTAACTTTTCAATGTATTGCTTTGTTTACCTTTCTAACTTGTTTTTATCTTGCTATACTTTCGGAAAATGACGCATATATTTGGAATTAGAAAGAAAATAAGGATACGTGATGTCAATTTAAAATTTTATTCGTGACATTACGCTGTGTATACATACCTTGACATCGCAACTGTGATAATATTCCAGACTTTTAGTGGACTTATAAGAGGAGAAAATTGGTCGAAAAAAAACCGCAACCGATAAAAAAAAAACAGTTCATTGCACCTTATTGAAAGGAGTGAATTATAAGGCTTACTGGCCTATAACTGACTCAATTAAAAGACATTAAAATTAATATAAACATGAAATTACACACATCGGAGCGAAAATTAACATCAACCAAATTAAATGCAAGGCTCCACAAAACTAGTTACATAATGCACTTACGAATCCTGTACTAGACTAACAACTTAGTAAACTGGCGTCAGATCTAACGCTAACTCCTTTGTGTACCAGCCTTTTGTTTAGCTAGTTAATATATTGTTAGGTTTATTAACCCGGCTTCGCCCCCATACAAAATCGTCCCAAACAAATGGAAAGTTTGTCAGCGTTTGTTTGAACTATTGAACTAGTTTACCGCCGTGTTTATCGCTCGAAAATGTTTTTCGAAACGTTCTGTCGTCTGTACTGTCTAGTTTTTTTATGTGATTCTCGGCAAACGAGCAGGCGGTTTACCTGGTGGTAAGCAATCAGCGCCGCCCATGGAAACCCGCAACAACATAGGAGTTACGAGTGCGTTGCTAATCTTTTGGGGATTAGGGATTTGGAGATTTAGGGATTGTCGGAGGGAAAGGGTTGAGCCTCATGAGTTGTGTTGTTTCACGCCGGTTTTCTGTGAGGCCATGGTATCACTCCGGTAGAGCCGACCCATTCGCGCCAAAGCATGGCTCTCCCACACTTGTTAGTTGTATAAGTTTTTTTTATTGTGCAAAATGTTTTTTAAATGTTCTTTTGTTATTTTTGCTGCACATGTTAAATATAAAGTTTGTGATACATATTGTTTGGTGGGAAAAATTATTTGATACATATACCTATATTATACATATTGTTATGTATGTACAGTCACGCGTGTCTCGTTGCTAGTCATTTGATATGTGATATAGTGTTACAACTAGTACAGAGTTTATGAAATGTACTAAAATATATTTTATTTTTAAAATTGTATTCTGCAATATAAACTGTGAAAATACAGTACACAATGAACAGTGTTTTATAAAACAATACGTTCTGCACAAGCAGTTGTGAGTTTTTTTATTCGTTCCCTTTGCTATCCCAAAAAATATGGAACAAATAAATCTTTTATCCAAACTCCCAAAGCGTTAGTTTTCTTTCATACTAGCTATCTACACTAGGATATTATTCACATCTCGAGTGATAGCGAGTAAAACTGTACGATGAACTGGGTCAGCGGTATCATATTGCGCGCCCTGTCAAAACATGATGGATCTACCCACCTAAAACCTCGCGAAAGTAATCATTCTATGCATATATATCAAAACGCATTTTGTACATGGGAAAACCATTACCTACGAGCGGCCGAACTTGCGTAGCAGCCGTGGATACTATCAAACATTTATACAATGTATTCAGGACACACGCTTGTACACTTCCTACGAATGTACATACATATGTATGTATACTGTTTGTGATGTTCATTTTATAATGACATACCGTTTATATTCAGATTGCCATTATGATAAGAGCACATATTTTATGTACACACGTCTACTGGGGAATTACTTAAATAAGCGTAACGATGTAGGATTTATAACCCAAGCCCCGAGCTGCAATTGTATGCTTCAGCAATTTACCATCCATTATGTCTCCCTGTGTGCGTGGCCTTGTATTGAATCCCCGTACTTACCTAGTAGGAGGTATTGTGATGTTTCAGATAATGCATGGCGAGTAATTGTTTGTGTCTGTGTGTGCAGGCGAGAGCGCGCTCGGTCGGCGCTCGAGGCGGGGCGCGGGTGTCCCCGCGGGCGGCGGTTCGCCCAGTTGACAGCATGCTCATCGCGTTCAATGACTCGGCCAACCTCACTGACTTGGCGCTCGGCACCGACCTCCCCACCAGCCCCTACAGTCTCGCGCAGAAGATCATCATCGCCATCATAGGCAGCGTCCTATCGGTGCTCACCGTCGTCGGCAACTCCATGGTGATGATCAGCTTCAAGATCGACAAACAGCTGCAGACTATAAGCAACTACTTCTTGTTCTCCCTGGCTGTGGCGGACTTCGCCGTGGGTCTGATATCGATGCCGCTGTACACTATGTTCACCATCTACGGTTATTGGCCGCTGGGCCCGCACGTGTGCGACACGTGGCTGGCCCTGGACTACCTCGCGTCCAACGCGTCAGTGCTCAACTTGCTCATCATAAGTTTCGATAGGTACTTCAGTGTGACGAGACCGTTGACGTATAGGGCTAAGAGGACTACACGAAGAGCGACGATGATGATAGGAGGTGCGTGGGGCTTCAGTTTGTTGTTGTGGCCGCCGTGGATTTACGCCTGGCCGTACATCGACGGCGAGCGGAAAGTGCCCCCTCACGAGTGCTATATTCAGTTCATAGAGACAAACCAGTTCATTACGTTCGGGACAGCTATAGCGGCGTTTTATGTGCCAGTGACTGTCATGTGTATACTGTACTACAGAATATGGAGGGAAACTAAGAAACGGCAGAAGGATCTGCCGAATCTGCAAGGAGGGAAGAAACACGACTCGTCAAAGAGATCAAATTCTAGGTGAGTGTTATACATGTTCTGTTTTATAGTTTTATTGCGATAATGTATGGTAAACCATATTTGAAGTTAAGTTACTTTTTATAACTGTAAAAGGGTCAGGGAGACATTACAGGGAGGCGTTCCTGAATAGTAGGTAATTTAGGTTACTGAATTTCAGGGTAACTATCCGGCTTGGAAGTTTGCCCGACAAATGTATAGGCATTGTCTATTAAATTTAACCCTAATTCCATAATTGGCGAGTTGCCGGTATTCTAAAATAAATTGCTAGGAATATTAATACGAGATATTATTGATATAGCTGTCCATTTCAATGTGTTATTGGTTACGAATTGCCATTGCCAAATTCTGCGAAATGCTCAACAAAATTAGAACAGACATAAAAGTTTTTGATAGTTTTTATATGAATTACCATACAAATATAAATGTTTTATGCATTCTCTGTTTATTTTGATATTTTTTTTATTGTTTTGGATAATCTGATTTCCTACAATTACTGTTGTGCAGACGCATAGTGTGATTAAAAGGAACAATTTATTTTAAATCTGAGCGAAGGAGCCAATATATCACCATAGATAGGGCCCGCGCAATCGCAATGAGGCACCGCGGCCTCGGCCCAGAGCAGGAGAAGGAACGGGGGGTTTTTAGTAAGTAAAAGTCTGACACTCTCTTTCGCCTTAACCTGGGCGAAAAAAGTCATTTGATGATTTCCCCCTGACAAAATAAAAGATGATGATGAGAAGAGCTGAGCATCGTGCTCAGCTAGCAACAGAAGAGGCATATATCCAGCAGAGGACAGAAACGGATCGATTTCAATAAAAAACAATATATGTATATGATAATACACTACAAACCGCAATCAAATTATAATGTTTCATAGCACCAATCTCAATACGTGATTACTAATCCCCGATGAAATCAAATGGACTGTTCATTGCCAGTGTAATCACTAAATCAATCTCTACAATGTTATACCAATAGTTTGATATAGTCGGTAGTCGTGTCTTGAGCTAAAACATACATATACAATTATATGTAAGTGTGGGAGAGCAATGTTTCGGCACGAATGATACCTGATACCTCGGCCTCACAGAAAACCGGTGTGATTGAGGGAGGGAAAGGATTGGGCTTCCGGTAATCGCACTCACACGGCGAAAAACAACGCTGTGGCAGTTTCACGCTGGTTTTCTATGAGGCCGTGGTATCACTCCGATTGAGCCGACCCATTCGTGCCGGAACATGGCTCTCCCACCGCATTGCACCCGTGCAAAGTTGGATGAAGTCGCTATATAATAATACAGAATGTTTTTGTATATATTTACCAATCTGTTGTTAATCAAAGGCTTACATATATAAATCGTAAAAATGAATTTTAATTTAAATATTAGCAGGCCTGACAATATCCTTGTTGTTAAAAAACACTCTTATCAAGGATTCATAGGTAACGATATGTCTTCAACCATCTATCAAAAACCACAGACTCACCACAACTTGCAAGTAAAACCTCCTTAAACAATAAATACCAATGAGCATTCCAAAGATTGATATTAATGGATCAGAGAAACATACATACATTGCAGACCTGTCCAAGTAACTCAGATTAACAGTATCACTTTAAAAGGTTTTGCTTGTAGCCCGATACGGGTAGTCACCGTTTTAGGTATTGTTTTTAGTAATGGGTTCAAAAGTTAAAACTATTGGGCGTTATTGTTGTAGATGTCAATAAATAATTACAAGTTACACACGTGATTTTCTTTATATGATAAGTGTGCAAACGTGCTGGTGGATTACCTGATGGTAAGCTATCAGCTATCAACGTCATGGTGGCCCGGAGGTTAAGGAACGCTTCTCGTGCATGAGGTCGAATTTTAAACATTACTGGTACCAATGTGACTATGATTTAGACACCACTGACATATGGTGAAGGTAAACATCATGAGGAAACCTGGACTTATAATTTCTAATTATAAGTTTGAAATCGCCAACCCGCATTGAGCAAGCGTGGTGATTAATGCTCCAACCTTCTCCGTGTGAGTTGAGGCCTTTGCTCAGCAGTGGGCTTTCGTGTGTGCTTTCAAGAATACGAAAAGAAAATGTTATTTTCGAGTCGCTTTTTCTCACACACAGATTATTATTGCAAGAAGTCTGAATAAAAGAAACCCAGTGTTTATCCCTCGCAAGTAATATTGTAGTACAAAGTCAAAGAATTCAGGGCGTATGTAAGTGATGGGGCAGAAACCGCTGTATTCATTGTGCATCACAATAGCCTTTGATGCAGAATCCTTCAAAGAACGGGCTTAAACGGGCTTAAGAATCGCCTGAACGATTTATGTTCTAGAAGATATAATATTTTCTGGAAGCAACGTGTTTTTGCAATAGGTTATAAGCGAAAATACCCGTTCTTTATAGAAATTTACTCGTTGAAAAAGCTGCTAGTTTCACTTTTCACGCTTTTGGTTATTTTTCACAATCCATAAGTGTAATATATATTTTTAAGTAGAACCACTTTCACGCTTATGCAGCTTGTCTGTGTGCCAAAATTGCAAACACTTTAGTACTATATTTGCTCGATATATCATAGAAAATTGGGACGCGAACGATTCAAATAACCGAACCGGATAAGAAAAGCCGGGTAAATTTAAGAAACTCACAACTTTTATTCGTGGTTTATTGAACATTTTATAATGTTTTGTATACTTTGTTTGTTTTGCAAACTGCCGGGAACAGTCTCGGCTGTAGTCTACGTTGGTTCGAGTTTAAATTTTTTTTACACGGTTGGATTGTAAACTTTATTTGTATTCACTGTCCTGTGAGTATGCTTAAGATACGGTATAGGAAAGGACATGTAAGTAATATGCGTTTTTAACGTCGATAAAATAAATTTCTATTGACTTAATAAAGAGCGTTCTTTTCGGCTAGTATTACTTTACATCATTATCATGACCAGTGCCCGCTGTTGACTTAAGACCTCTTTTCACACGAAGAAGGAGTTAGCATTAAGTGATCACCACGCTTACTGAAGGCTGATTGGTGATTTAAAACTTACGTGTGGGAGAGCCATGCTTCGGCACGAATGGGTCGGCTCGACCGGAGTGATACCACGGCCTCACAGAAAACCGGCGTGAAACAACCACAGCGTTGTGTTTCGCCGTATGAGTGAGGTTATCGGAGGCCCAATCATTCTCCTCCCCCAATTCCTCCTCAATCCCTAAAATCCAAATCCCTAATCCCTAAAAGGTCGGCAACGCACTCTTAACTCCTCCGTTGCGTTGCTCCACGGGCGGCGCTGATTGCTTACCATAAAAAAATTACAAATGCACGTTCTCTCATAATGTTTTCCTTTATCGTATATTATTACCATCAGTGCCTTATTAATCTAAAAAAGATTTACTCAGAAATAGTCACATTGAAACACTTGCTAGGTTTTGAACCCTTTTTTGCATGAGATGCAAGCGCTTTTACCTCAAGACTACATTCCGTATCACAATTTGATCATAATGAACCGCTGAAAGAAAAATAAAATACAGAGTTACCCATTAAAAATCTATAAAGATTATTATTATATTATCCTTCAGCAAGAACCATTAAATATCTTCACATCCACGTTTCCTTTGTACCCACTCGCCACAATTCTTTCACCGTCTATTTCCTTTGCAAGACAATAAATTGCGTTTGTTTCATAGAAACTGTATCTCAAGTTTGTCCCTAGACTAAAACCTCGTACGGTAACTGTCTGGAAATAAAGACACGACATACATATTTTAACAGAAGTTTCATTTTACTAAAGAATATTTTATATTCGTGTGTGGCTATAATTGTTAGCTCTCAACTAAGTAAATTTTTTTGCAAGTCATATTTTGTGAGGGGTAATGAGGTGTTTTTTAAATTAATATTTCATTAATGCAATTCATTTATCTGCCTGTTTTTTTGTAGACATCTAATAATTCAGTGTATGTTGTAGGGTTGTTAAATTATTAGGTATATAATGACAGCTAAATTTAAATACTACCAAAATCATATGTTATCTGATATTTATTAATGCTCTCGCAATATTTATGTGCAATCAAGGTATTTTTAGTAACCCAAAAAATATTTATTTATTTCTTCCTTACACAATGAACTGTCTGAACGGCCGACTCATGACTAAAGGTATTGTTTAACAGCTAAAAAAAGCAAGAACACGCCCCCAGAAAAAGAAAAGAATGTAAAAAAATAACCTTTTATAACACTTAAAAAATTTATACTCCACTACGAAGGTTTAAAATCGTCCTCAAACGGGAACTACACCTTCTGTGCTTCCCCATACAATGTTCTAAGTGCCGATGCCAAAAAAGTAATTTAGTAACCATTCATACATCTCAACAAAGAACTATAAAATACGGGGTACCACAAGGTAGCGTGCTAGGGCCGCTACTCTTCTTAATATATATAAACGATCTTCCAAAATTTATAACTCAAAATATGGTACTTTTTGCTGACGATAGTACAGCCATTGTCAAATGTAATAACCCTGACTATTACGAGAATGATATAAATGATTGCCTCGACAAAATAATTAAGTGGCTTATAAATAATAACCTAGTCATTAATTTAAACAAAACAAAAGTAATGCACTTCCGTCAAAGATGTGAAAAACCTCCAGTTCATATCATGTATGACAAATGCCAAATAGAAGATACGGAAAAGGCAAAATTTTTAGGTATAATTATCGATAGTAGGCTGACGTGGAAACCCCATATTGAAGAAATTTGCTTGAAATTAAACAAGTCTGCATATGCCCTGTTTCAGCTATCAAAAAAAGTTAATACTCAAACACTTTTATTAGCATATCACGGATTGGTTGCATCTGTTCTGAGGTTCGGTATTATTTTTTGGGGGCAATCTTCTGAAAGAGAATCGGTTTTTAAAGCGCAAAAACTATGTATTCGGTCCATGTGTGGCTTAAAAACTACCGAAACTTGTGAACCATACTTTAAATCTTTAAAATTATTGACTTTTCCTGCTATGTACATTTACGAAACTGCCTTGTTTGTCAAAATCAATCTGCATCTATTTCAAAAACTCGCTGATGTTAAAAAAACTCCAATGCGTTCTCAATATGCAAATAAACTGTGCAACTTAAAATGCAAAACCGCTTTAAGTAAAAAGGGTTTTTTTGGCATGGCTCCGAAAATCTATAATAAAATACCTGACAACATAAAACAATTACCCTTAGTTAAATTTAAGAAGATACTCTACCTACTGTTAATGGAAAAGTGTTATTATACTGTAGAAGATTTTTTAAATGATAGTTTATAATATTAATTTATTAGTTAGAAACCTATGAGTAAGATTTTTAAGACTGCTTAGAGATTTTTTAAGACTGTTTCTTTATTGTGTTAGTTTTGATTATACATTTTAATAGTTTAAAACAAATAGGTCCTTTTAACATGTAAGAGTTTAATTTTGTTGTTTTTTTCCCATATGTATGTAGTTTTTAATTTTTAAAGTTTTTTAATTTTATTTTAATATTTGTACGCCTTCACGGCAAAACATAGCGCACCTATATTATATGACCTAAGATCTAAATGTAAATACCTATGTTTCACAAATAAACATTCTGATGTACTGCCGGGGAGATTCCGCCACCGTGCGTCCTTTGTGTCTCTTCCCTTTGTCCACAAATGTCTACGAGGGTGACGTTTGACAAGGCATGAGCGAAATGATCTCATACGCAACGGTTTGCATGTAAATTAACCTTTTAATATTCAAATAGATACTAGTTTTTAGTTGTTTTACTATTTGAGTTTTGAAGATCGAGTTTTGATGTTTCTCGAGACGGGATAGTTGGAGAAATTCTCATAAGCTAATATAATAAGCACGTAACTGAAAGGCGTTTAGTGGATTATAATGAATTAGTTAATTGCATTTTATATCTAGTTAAGTATTGTACATAGCAAAGATATTCCATTAGTCTTCTTTTTGGAAAATTATTATTTTTATATTAACACTCTTTTAGATAATCTTTTAGATTGATTTAGATTCTCTAAAAGAATGTAAAATATTTTGAGAGGTTTGTTTTTGGATTTGGACGGGGTAAGTAATTAAATGTGTTCTAACACCCTGGGTGAGGCAAGACCAGTTAAGAAGGTCAGACTTTGGCTGACTAAAAACTACTCCGTTCCTCCTCCTGCTCCAGGTCGGGGTCACGGAACTAAGTTATTGCGCTGGACCCGCAACCTCGGATAGTTTGAGAGGTTAAGTCCTGTAACATATAAATAAACTAAATAATAGTCCCTTCATACATTTTCTAGCACTGAAATAGCTTCTCTCTACCTCCCATGGCAGCAGCACTTTTTGATTACGCTAAACATTTTAAACACCGATCTCTAACTTGCCTGCCAAGCTTGGAGATATTGGCAAAACTTCTCTTCTATAGCAGAATCCCATCCAGCAATCAAGTCAAGAGCCATTGACGTGATGATGAAAATAGCTATTCATTATGCATTTCAAATACACGTTCATTAGTTCGCCATTTTGCTTATTAGTAGCAAGGTTCTTGCTGCCATTGTTACATGTATCAATGAATACTTTATGCTTTATAATAGCCAATCAGAGCAGCTAATTTATTGAAGCTTGATTAACGACCAGTGTTATGCATTTGGTTATTATAAGCTACGTCTGTCTGTGTGTATTATTCATTCTATTTGATCATGTCTTTTTTATTATTATTCTTTCCTATCACGGGACCACAGGGTCCCGGACCTTTGGAAGGCGTACGAGGGGCTGAAGCCAACTCGCAGAGGCCCGTTGAACAGTTTTAATCTAAATGTGATGGGACATCAGCCGGCAATTATCCCTGTATGCACTATAAAAGTGCACCCAACGACAATCCCCGGTTGATGGAGGACTATAGCGAAATGTGGTAAAAATTTATAGGGTTATGGGTATGGGTTGCTATGGACTGGTGGATATGATAACTATGGAGATACTATGGCCCCTGCTCCTGACCAATATTGATACATACGGATAAACAGGCAGGGGGTGACTGGCAAACTCAATTAATGGGCCCCCGGAAACGGCCGCTAGCATGTAGCGACACGGGGGCAACATACGTTGAGCTGCTTGAATCCCGGAAGTACGGTCAAGACCACTACCAGCATCTTACTGAGATACATCCTTCCCCCGAGTCTCCTTCAACTCCTACTCTTGCGAATCTCCACTCAAGCTAGCCAATTAAGGCAAGAATGAGGTGGGAGGGCTTGTTCCTCATCAGTGTTCAGTCCAGCTAGTCCATATGGACTAACTGGAGATGAAGAACAAGACACCTCCCGGGAGTCAGGTCCGTGGGGTCGCCACTGCCCAACAGCTCGCCAAAAGCTGCCTTGCGGATTTTTTTCTTCTTTTTTTAAAGTACATTGCCCCACACTAGGATTTTCTCCTGTGTCGTGGGTGCGTTTACAAACATACAAATTCACATGCACATCACACCCAGACCCGGAACAACAATCTGTGGATCACACAAAGAGTTGTTTCGTGCGGGAATCGAACCCGCGACACGTTGCGTGGCAGTCAGTCAGCCCAGCCACCGCGCCAACCGTGCAGGCAGTGATAAATGTTATTTTGTGTTCACTTTGAATTTAGTTGTAGACGCATATACTTCTAAATACTAACAAAGTTTTGGCGTCTAAGTAGGCAATGTTACTAGCTAGACATTTCAATTTCCGAAAATTCTTTCGTGATTCGATCGGAATTGAACGTACCTAATGTAGGTCGTGTGATGTTTCTTGAAATAAATAAGTATTTTATTTTATGTCATAGGACGGTAAACGAACAGATGGACTACCTGATGGTAAGCAATCGCTACTGCCCATGGTCACGAAACACAACGTAAGTGTTACTTCACGCTGGTTTTCTGTGAGGCCGTGGTATCACTTCGCCCCAGCCGGACTTATCTCCCACATATACATATAATCATTATTAATAACCTAATGACAATGCTACTTTTATTTGTTCTAATATACAGATTAAATTTGCAATTTGGATATTTCTAGATACGAACACTGGAGGCTCCTAGACGTACACCACATAGATCAAACTGTCGCAGTATATCTTGGCTAATCCTGGACAACATTTAGCCACAGCCATAGCCTTATAGCCTGCATATATGTAATATGCTGTACTCGTAATTCCTCGTATACAGTTTTATCCGATTATGATGAAGTACGGATACCCTGGATGTGTTTTTGAGCCTGGAATTCGTTTTAACGACTGTTTTTATGGAACGTTAAATTTATATTGTATTTTTTGGTGCATGGTTTTGTGTGGGGAAATTTAGTAAGAGGGTGTTACATTCAGAAAAATGATAGCGTCATATGGGATGTGTGGAGTTCTAGATAAGTGAACAATCCTACTAATAAATTTAATATGGGTAGATGTTTGTACATACATTCCGTCTTAATAATGCATTTTTTGTATACCAAAGATATATAGGTATGCTTATTGTGTTTGCTTTTGTTGAGATGGACAACTTTGTCACCTAGGCTGTTTGCAATAAAGAATATTAAACGATTATGTTCAACAAAAATATTATGTTAGTGTTTACAGCGAAAAATACTGGAAGCTGCTGGAAAAAGATTGTAATGTAATATGTCACAGCCTATGAGTGCCCACTGCTGAGGAGATTTCTCGAAATTCAAAACTTTGGCTATAAAGAGTTATAGCTGTATCTGAGTACATTCTACAAAATAAACTTGCGAACATAAATAAACAACTTTTTTTAAGAAACTTTTTTCAACCAAAATTGAAAGACAACAAAGTTCTAAAGAACTTACATCTGTTACAGTATTTGCCTATTCAGACTCTTTCTCCAAGAATATCTAGAAACAAGGACGGACTAAAGTTTTAGCTAAGAATCAGGTCAGACAAATGTCTGAGAATAAAATAGGGCAATGACACTGCTGCATCTTGCATTGGTACATGGATTGGGAGGTGCATCATTGATTTCTTTCTTTAAGTCTCTGGAGAGTATGCAACTATGCACGTTACATATTAACTTACTACCAGTTAATATGTTTGTGGTTTTTGTAAAGTAGACGTGAACTAAAACCTGAGATGTATATAGGTATTTTATGATTGATCTTTTTATCGAGTACAATATCACATCACATAATCAGCCTATAAATGCCCACTGCTGAGCAAAGGCCTCCTCTCACATAGAAAAATGTTTGAGCATTAATCACGATGCTTGCTCAAGGCGGATTGGCCACCAAATACGAGTAGATAGATTGAAATGTAAAAATAAATGAGTTGGTATTAAACTATGTTACTTGAACTAAATAATATAACACAAAAAATCAAATTTTACAGTATAAAATAGCAGCTAAAACACAGTATTCCTAAATCCAACACAACCTAAATAAATCGAGTTCACCCTTGCTCATATTTCAACCCCTTCGAAGATCCAATAAAAATATCTATCGTCTAAGAGCCTTTAAAAATTTCATCGACCGTACACCTCTGGAAGGCGCCCATTTACGAGGGGGAAAGTGGTGGGTATAGGGGGTAGTCTCCCCCCCTTTTACGGCGAAGTGAAAGACATTACTCTTGGATGCGTCTGGATTTATGTGCTCAACGATGTTGCTTGATACATATTTGTATGTGGACCCGTGGAGCAATTTAAATTTAATTTTCCCGTTCATATTAGAGTTGGCTGTGAAATTGTGGTTGCGTCGATCTGAATTGACATTGTAAGCGTCGCTGACGGTAGAGATAATAAACAATATAAACGTCACGTAGCGTAACGCTTGTTTATTTTTCATTTTTCAAAAGACTACAGGTTCTGTATATGTATATGTATGTATGTTAGTTATGTTATTAGTTTCGTTATAAAATAGGGAAGTTGTTGCCAAGTTGTATACTTTTTGTTGTAGTAGCATTTATGTTATATATGTATGCTAAATATCTTAACTATTAACATTTATACCGCCATGTCGGACAATGCTGTCCGACAGTAGCGGAGGGTTAGCCTTCAACAGTTTTTGTCGGCAGTCAAATGCTTAAAAAAAACCATTATTTAATTATTTATTTTTTTGTTATACATATAAACCTTCAATCACTTTATCAATTAAAAAAGCGCATTAAAACCCTTTGCGTAATTTTAAGCTTTGAGCTTACATAAGGAATGATGATTCATAGTAATATTTTTTAGCACAAAGTACCTATTACTTGTTAGTATTAGGAATAACACACTTTCCAACAATATTATTAAAAAACAAAGTTTATATAATGTAAAAACTTCAAATCCAAAACCTAACTCAAGACTTCTGCACTATATAAGTCAAATTTATTACATAATACGGCTTAACATACAAGTAGGTACATATTATAGTAGTACTGATTGAAATGTTAATTAAGATGGACGAGGTTGAATGAGATATTAATACAGGCTCATATACGGTATATATTATCAAGTATAAACACACGTATACAATGGTATCTCTCTTGCATATCAAGTACACGTGGCGCGTTTAACGAGGCATCGTGAAACAATGTTTTACTCGCCTGTTTACATATATACATATGTATCTTTATAAATTTATGAAAACTTCGCATTGTTTTATCTCGGTTAAATAAATGGACATCTGTTGTTCTTTCAAATAATAGGTTAAAGTGTACCTTCAAATATGGTCGTATAATAAACCTTATATTATTTTTAAATTCGTTGCAAACCTTCATTGCATTGGTGGCCCGGAGTCTTAAGGCGCCCGCTTTTCATGCATGAGGGTGCGAGATCAAAACCTGACAATTACATATGTGACTTTTAGAGTTATATGTACTTTCTATGATTATTTAGACACCGCTGACATACGGTGAAGGAAAACGCCGTGAGGGAACCTGGACTTTAAATTTCGAATTATAAGTTTGAAATCGCCAATCCGCATTGAGGAAGCGGTTGGTGATTAATTATCAAACCTTCTCTTTGTGAGAAGAGGTCTTTGCTCGAAGTGAGCACTTATAAGGTATCAGCCTATAAGTATAGTATAAATAAAGCAAATTTAAATGTGTTGTTATTCTAAATTTTGAAATTAAAAACTAGAGTCAGACCAATTTTGCGGTTGCTAAGCACAATGGGTAGTTTTTTGTCAGGATCTAACATTCCCTCTTGTCTCACTCAGGGTGAGAAAATACATAGGAAGATTTCCTCCCTTAAAAACTTGAGTTACATTACAGACTTTAGAAGAAAAGCTGGTCTGTTTTGAATCAAACTGCTATCTTCTTTTAATGGTTTCTTTTCAAACTCGAAAGTTCTTAAACTTTTTATTGCAATATCGATATCATAAAATACTAATACGATTTTAACTTGGACAGGAAACCAAGATGGGATTCAATGGAATCCTCTTCCTCTTGGCTATATTCCAAATAGGTTGGGGTCAGTAGGTACTGATGTTAAGCAAATTTTACTGTATGCCAGTATTTTTGCACCCATCTGCGTTTTACTACCCAACAGAGGTCAACGAGAATCTTTGGAAACATTATTTTTGAATTTGTTCTATTAAGTACATGTCTGTTTGGCAGTTCGAGTCTGTTTTATAGCTTTGCAAGAATGTTGTTTGGTTTGTATCATAGAAGGATGTCAGTACCTGTCAAACGTGAAATTATTTTGAGTTGTGTGGTGAGGTAAGCAGTGGCATAGGGGGTCACTCCGAATATCAGCGAATTTGCAAGTACGTTCCCAGTCTTTCTTGAGGGTTCATCATCATTATAAGGAGGATGTTTTATTAAAAGACAATAAATTAACTTAACTTAACTTAATTTAATATAACTATCACAAGAATTCGGTAGATAGTGCTAATTTCATTGTGATACTGAAAAAGGAAAGTGTACATGTAGTGTCCGTTCGTATACAAGAAAAAAAGAAAATCATTATCATTATACGATTTAAAAGTTTCAAATAATTTAACATACCACGTACAGAAAATCGACAATTTGTGAAGACACAAATTGTTCCGCGTGGAATTCGAACCCACGACGACCGAGCAGTCAGTTTTTCATTGTTAATAAGACATAGTACTAGCTACGAGCAGAAGGTAGTAGTGAGTATATAATAATGTTTGTTTGTGCTATATAAGCCAAAACAATGTCGGACAACGTGAACCAAAGTGTCAGAATATGACATACGGTTTATAGCCCGCGGACAGTCCTGCCAGCCCCTTAATAGCAGTTTCCCAACTTGACCCCTGTACGTGAAGTAGGTCTGAAGGTGCCTGAAATATATTTCAGTGTCTCGTTTACTTTGTTCCGAAGTTTCAGGAAGCCCGCCTCAGTTTGTACAGGACTAACAAGGGGATTTGTGAGAAAGGTTTTTAGTGTAAACGTTAACTAGGCTAGTAAAGTTTCAGGTATTTAAAGGCTTCTGTTATAGGTTTCAGCTGAAGACACGTATGGTTATTTTGTTCTTAAATTACCTTTATACTGCCTTTTTTGTCTAATACGAAAGTTCCTGGTGTATATTTGATCGTGTGGAAAGGAATTTCGCATTGTTAGATTTTTTTTCTCGTAATTGAAATTGTTGCAGTAATGTGCATGATATTATTCTGAAAGAGTGTAAAATTGGTGTATGCAAGTCGTTCGAAAGTTCTAGAATATTGTTTTGCAGATTTAACTGTGAGATCGATACAATCATTGATAATATCATTTTTATACGTTTCATACTATGGAATTAAATACGAATCAGTTGAAAAAAGATAATTAAATAATAATTATCAGTATTCGGCATTGAAAATGCAAACACAGCCAAAGAAAATCGAATCCTATTTTAAACAGTTCAAATCTCATATTCCGTTGATACGTGTCATACTAACATACTACAATATATAATGAAGCTCGCA